ACGGCTGTGTACTGGATTACATTTGTCTGGTGTGTCATCAAGACTTTTGGGCATGTCTGTAACAGGTGTATTCAACCTTGTGACAATACTGCTGCTCAATCTGTTGTACAATGTCACTCATCTGATCAACAAGGCTAGCATTTTCAAAGGTAGACAGTTGTGCGGTACTGCACTTAGGTAGCTTCAAATCGGCAATGAGTTCATTATGTGGAGTTATCTTGTTATCTACATGGGATGCACCCAAAGCAAACGGGACTGTGGAAACCTGTAACCCATGACCTCTACCGAACCCAAAAGGCATGTTGGATCTACTGAAACTCATAGTAGTTACTGTAAGAGTCTATGGTGAGGCATAGAGTAGAAGATATCCAGCGCAGTGCAGAGATGACAGTAGATCCAGTGTGACTCAGCGAGGAGAAGACAAACCCAGTTCGAAACAGTCAACGAGTCACGGCACCAATGTGACCGGTGTGTCTTGCCCTCTTTTTATTTCAATGACCCACGGAAGCTGCTGGAGTTTGGTGTGACAGCAGTTTATTCTGCACAGAATATAGAAAACAGTTGCTGTGAATTGATTTGTAGTGGACATTCATCATGTGTTTCATCTCGTCTCGAGTTCTCCAGAACAATGAGGAGGACATGTAATAATATTCAGGTTATTACAACATTTAAGTCTTTTACAATATTGTAATAACAAAAATAGAACAGCAGCATTACTCAATACTCTGTAAATAGTTCCTGTGACCGTATAGTGGATTTATGTAAGACAATAATATAAAATAAAATGCAATTTTTTTCAATGGGCAATTTATATTGGTACTTTTAAATGCAATTTGCTTGATGTACATTAACATAAAACATGTGTACCTTACGTACCTGCACAGAATATAGAAAACAGTTGCTGTGAATTGATTTGTAATCGACATTCATCATGTGATTCATCTGTAGAAAACAGACATTTATTAGCCGCTAGCAAAACTAAGAAAAACACGGTCAAATCAAATATACTGTAAATAAACTTCAGCAGATCATGGCCAAACAAACATCAAATACGTCCAGTACAACACACAACTGTCAGCTTAGCAATAAAATAGCTACACATGAGTGAATTAATAATTTTTGTCCACACAATTTCTCAGCCACGTGACCTCGAGTTCTCCAGAACAATGAGGAGGACTCCGAATTCGCGCGAGTTTAGTAAGTGCAGGTACGGCAGGCACCAGGAGATGGCGCTAGTTCACAATTTAGCAGGATTTATTTATTTATTTATTTTTTTATTACACACAACTGGGTGCATAAACTTGATATAACAAACATGGCTGTGTGTCGTCAGCAGTTACATGTTGGGATGAGGGAACATAAACACAACATATTATATAGAAACAATACAATACAAAAAAAGTGCATTTAGGAATAGAAAAGGATAATAGCAAGGGAAGTAGAGTTCATTCAGCCTGAGTTCATAAAGTCCAGGGGTATTTCACACATGTAGGAATACACAGTTTGAGGTTTAGGTCCATTTAGCAGGATTTAACAACGCTCATATTAACTATGTTACATATATGTTTTTTTTTCGTCTTCATTATACTTTTTTTTGTTTTTTGATACAGAAACACATCCAAAAAGCACATCCCAATCATATATGAAAAAAGGCAAGAAAGAGATTTTTGTCTCGGGCCACATATCATTGTGTTTGGGTCCGGATCCGAACAGGAGTCCGTCAATTGAGTACCTCTGTCCTAGAGCATTCCTCCAATTACCCCTCCCTCTCTCCATCTCTCACCCTCTTTTTTCTTCTCTCCCCTCCTGTTTCTTCCTCCTTTGTCGCCATCTCTTTCTCCCCTCATCACCCCCCCTCTCACACTCTCTCTCTCACTCTCTCTCTCTCTCTCCCTTCTTTTTTCTTCCCTCTCTCTGTGTTTCTGACACCACACTTTCAATCCTCCTAAAGAAATATTTAGTTTTGATTGATGTTGACAAATTTTAATAAATAATAATAACAATAGAATAATATAATAATAATAAAATCATTATCACGATTATTTTGGTCAATACTGAAATCACGATTATTCAAACGATTATTTTTTAGTTACACGATGCGTGCATTCAGCATTTGTCTCTCACTTTGTTATTAATAATTTACGCAAAACGTTCAAATTGAAAATAAATATAGGCTACAAATATGTATCTTAGTTTTGTGATGTATAAAACATAAAATGAATAAAATCTACTTAAAAAATAAATACTTAAACAATAAATAATAAATGTATCCAAAATAAACTATATATCCAGCTGTTCTACAATTTATATATTTAAAAAATAAAATAAACTTTGTTAAACTTTACTCGTTTCAACTTATATGAGTTTGGAGATCGTTTGACATACAAATCAAAATTGCGATCAAAATGCAATTAATTGTGCAGCCTTAGCCACAATAGATCTTAGTAAAAGCTATGTTCAAGTTTGCACACATAAATAAAGTTCAGTAAATTAAGTGAAGTAAATGAAAAGTGTTAGTTTTAAAAAGTTCTCACCTTATCCCACACTGCTGTTGTCATTAGACTGGTTTAGCCCGGACTGTCCCTCTTTCTCCTTGGTCAAACATCACTGGATCTGTTCAGGACGTGAGTGAAGAGTTAAGGGCTCCGTCAGTTCTCACAGTGGTGCCGGGCCTCAAAGAGTTTCTATACAACAAATACATACAGTTTGAAATCAACTTTAGCCTAGAAACATTGAATCTAAACTTATTACTAATAATAATATTGTACATGTAAAAAAGACACAGAATGTCTGACGACTGGAGGAACAAATGAACATTGCCAAAACACAAAAAACATGTGCCAGAACACAAGCAGGAAAGTGACTCCAAGTACAACATGTGATTCAAAACATGTGGCAGAATGTTCCTCTTGTAGACATCTGAAAAGTTCTAAATATTCCAGATGGGTAAAAGGTGAATCTGACAGGTGCAGGACAGGTGCGAGGCAGGTGCACAGTGCTGCAGAGAACACTATTATCAGATGAAATGAATTCAGATCAGAGGACAATTGCAGAAAACTGAGCAGAGTTTTTAAGAAGGACACTGGGATCAAATGATCATCTGAAGAAGTCTTTATGTTGACACGTAAAGTCAGTCCCACTTTTTCTTTTTTCCTCTCCTTCCTCTATCCCACCTCTTCCTCTCTTCTGCTCTCTCTCTCTCCACTCCTCTTCATTTCCCACCTGTTCCTCTCTCCATCTCTCTCTTCAGCTTCTCTCCTTCCTCCCCTTTTCTCACTCCCTCTTCTCTCTCACTCATGCTATCCTCCTCTCTCTCTCTCTCTCTCTCTCTCTCCCCTCTTCCTCCCTCTTCCACTCTTTGCTTTTCTCCTCCTTTCTGTCTTCCTCCCTTGTCCTCCTCTTCTCTCCCCCTACCTCTCTTTCCTCTTGTTTCTCTCCTGTACATATGTGTGTGTGCTCGCGCGCGTGTGTGTAGAAGTATACGAGAGTGCATTGTGTGTGTCTTGGGATCAGCAAAAAGACACAATAATAAAGTAATCATGGTCCTCTTGTTTATAGGCTGCTGCTGAAAGGAAAAGAAAGAGGAAGAGGTGCCAGGTCTGCAGGCCTTCATTTGCAAAGCACAGTGTGATGACATGTCACTCATGTGTTGTGTAAATGTACAGACAGACACGCACACACAAACACACAAACACACACCTTGTTCATATTGCGATTGCTTGTTTGTTGTATTTAAATGTTATGTTTCAATGTTGTGTAAAACTATTTTTGTGTTTTATATGTTGCTCTTTCTAAAGTAATAAACTGGTGAAACATTTAAAAAATGTAAAGACTTTTTTTTTTTTTTTTCATGAAAAATGAATGAATGAAGTAGGAAGAAGAAGTACGAGCACATAAGTCCTGTGCTCAGGTCTCTGCACTGGCTTCCTGTGCCTCAGAGAATAGACTTTAAAGCAGCTCTGCTTGTGTACAAGTCTCTCCATGGCCGAGCACCAAAGTACATCTGTGACATGTTAGTGTCATATGAACCATCTCACGACTAAACAAGGGGAGTCAGCGTTTCAGGTTCACGCAGCTAAAACCTGGAACAGTCTTCCTGAACATGTGAGACAGACTCTTCTGTGACGCTGTTTAAATCCAGGCTCAAAACATTTCTGTTTAACTGTGCATATGACTGAAAGGTTTTCATTCCACACTCTTCACTCTAATTTATGTAATTAATGTCTCTCTCTTTTTTAATTTTAATCTTTAATTTTATGATGATTATTTATGTTTTGATTAGTTTTTATTGTGATCTTAATGTATTTCTTATTCTGTAAAGCACTTTGAATTACTTTGTGTACGACTTATGCTATACAAATAAACTTGCCTGCCTTGCCTTGCCTTGAATGATCATAACTGAACCATGACCTGTTCGAGGTAAAGAATGCCATTGCACTAAATACTGATAGAATAGTTAGTAATAGAGTTAGTAGTGAAATATTAACAATGCTTGTTAGGATTTTTTTTGGGTTCGGACATCTTTTGGATAGTTAAACATCCACCAGGTAATCCAAACAGATTATGCACGGAACGGCACAATGAAAATCACTCATGTTGAAATATTTTGAAGTTATGAAGAATAACCTGGATAGTATTTAAATCCCTTCCTTCCTGGTACTAAGGCTGTAGATCATTGTTCTATCAGACTGTGTTAACTTCATTATTGATGTAAAATGACATAATAAAAATGGGAACAGTCCCTGAAGTGGACACATCTGCTACAACCATGAACCATGACATCAAAGTATTTCTCAATATATATTTATTTGTGGTCCTACTCATGTAGGAGTGTCAAAAATATTTGGAGAAACTACTATTCAAGTTTAGTCATTATAAGATAAACAGTGTCTCATATTAAATTAAACTGCAAAACAATAAGAATTTCACAGAATTTTGTATTTTCCAAAGGATAAACCACAAAACTCAGGAGAACAGGAGTGTAAGTGTCAAATGTTCAGATCCATTAATATTGTCAGCACATAGCTATTATTAATAGTGGAGTTACCCACAGCAGGAAACAAGTAAGAGTATGTTACTATTATATTATATATTACTTCAAAGTGTATTCATTTAAAAATAATTTCAGTAGATAGTACATTGTTGTCAAGAAGTCCAATGCGTATTCACTGTCCCAAAGAGCCCATCATCGCTTGCTAAAGGTAGAAAACAGACACACCAGTTTAATCAACAATGGATGCAATGGATTAATTTCATTTTTTTGATTTTTTTTGTTCTGTTGTTCACTTTAAATTGTACAGTATTAGTCTTCAGATTATTTAGAGATCTTTTATTCCCAGATAAACTGTAGATTCATGTCTCCAAGTCTCTCCTCCAGGATTCGGTCCACTCTTTCACTCTGAGCAACAGTGAAGGTGTTCTTCCAGTCTCCAATGCGCCCTGGAAATATGTGAAGTTTGTATTTACAGACGTGCATGGAGAAAATTGTTGGTACCCCTCTGGCAATGGAAGAAAAATTGACAATCATCACTGAAATAACTTGAAACTGATAAAAGCAATAATAAATAAAAATGTAATGAAAATTGTCCAGTGAAAATCAAACATTGCTTTTCGCCTGTGGTTCAACAGAATCAATAGAAAAAACAAAATAATGAAACTGGCTTGGACAAAAATGATGGTACCCTTAACATAATATTTTGTTGCACAAGTTTTGAGGCAAACTCTGCAATCAAACGGTTTCTGTAACTGTCAGTGAGACTTCTGCTTTGGTCAGCTGGTATTGTAACCCACTCCACGTGAGCAAACTGTTCTAGTTGTCTGAGGTTTGAAGGGTGCCTTCTCCAGACGCATGTTTCAGCTCATTTTACAGATCTGGGCTCACAGAAGAACACTCCAGAACAGACCAATGTTTTGTTCTTAGCCATTCTTGGTTGTTTTTAGCTGTGTTTTTTGGGTCATTGTCCTGTTGACCCATGACCTAGAACTGAGAAAAAGCTTTCTGACACTAGAAAACACATCCCAGATACCTTGATAGTGTTGAGATTCTACTGTATCTTGCACAGATTCAAGACACCCTGTGCCAGATGCAGCAAAACAGCCTCAGAACAAAACCAAGCCTCCTCCGTGCTTCACAGTAGGGACAGTGTTCTTTTCTTGGTCTGCTTCATTTTTGCGTCTGTGAACATAGAGCTGATGTGCCTTGCCAAAGAGCTTCAGTTTTGTCTCATCTGTCCAAAGAATATTCTCCCAGAAGCTTTGTGGCTTGTCAAAATGCACTGTGGCAAATTCCAGTCTCACTTTTTTATGATTTACTTTCAGTGGTGTCCTCACATGAAGTCCACCTTGGCTCAAACAATGATGTGTGATCTGACACTCATGTACTTTGCCCTTAGAGTTTACATTAATTTGTTAGGAAGTTGTTCTAGGCTCTTTGGTTCCATTCATATGATCCATCTCTTCAGTTTGTCATCAGTTTTCCTTTTGCAGCCACGTCCGGGGAGATGGTCTTATGGCTTTTATCTTTATCCTGCTTGTCTATCATTTTCTTTCTAGACTCCTGACACAGTTCTCTTCTTCTCTTTCTTTGGTCCATGTTCAGTGTTGTATCCATCATGTCTCCAAACAGCACAATGACACATGTCCCCCTTTAAACAGACAGACTGACTGAGGACAAGTTTGAAGAACCTGTGATGCAGATTAGAGACACATCCAAGTTTAACATGTCCCTGTCCAATTACTTACAATCTTTTTTAGGGGTGCCATCATTTTTGTCCAGGCCAGTTTCATTATTACCTCCGCCAAGGAGGTTATGTTTTTGCCGGCGTTTGTCTGTCTGTTTGTTTGTTTGTTTGTCTGTTAGCAACATAACTCAAAAAGTTATGGACCGATTTTGATGAAATTTTCAGGATTTGTTGGAAATGTGAAAAGGAAGAACTGATTTCATTTTGGGGGTGATCGGGAAGAAATCCTGGATTCTGGATCACTTTGAAATTTTAGTTAACATTGTGGTAAATGGGGCCAAAATTTTTGTTTCTCAATATCTCTGTTAATTATTGACCAAACCCCATGAAATTTGACTCAGGGATGGACAATGGGATCCTCTTTCATATTCCAAAGGCTGATCCGGATCTGATCCAGAAGACTGATTTTATCGCAATTTATATAAAAATGGGGGTAGTCCTTGGCGGAGGTCTGCGCTCTCTGAGTGCTTTTCTAGTTGTTATTTATTTATTTATTTATTTATTATTATTTTTAATAATTCTGTTGAACAACAATTCAAAAACAGTGTCTGATTTTCATTAGTTTTTCAGGTTTTTTTTTTTTTTCTTACTTAATTTCAAATTATTTCAGTGACCATTGTTGATTTTTCTTTCATTACCAGAGGGTTACCACCAATTTTGTCCTTGTTTGTATATAAACCCTAACTGACAGACAGTTACAAAATCTAGGCTCCGATCTTGTACAGTCTTTTTATAGTCACACACAACACACCAGGAATCCAAACCAAATAGTTTCACTGAATTCACGTTCTGCCCCTGAAGTTAATTTTTTTTCACCACCAGAGGGTCTTACTGAAACAGATAAAAGGTGTATTTGTGCACTGAACTGTGGAAGCTTAGAGCTGCTCCTTCATACTGAGATAAGACAGTTTCTGAGTATGTCCCAGAGCATGAGACAGCAGAGAAAGCAAATTAAATTTAAGGGACTATTTTTGACACAACAAACCTTTGGCAATTTAATATTTAAGAGAGAGGGGACATACCAAATTACTACTGTCAATATACAGATTTTTGTTGTAAATTCAAGTTCTCTCAAGACACTAAGACAAATGGTCAGATTAAACACGTGATGGCATTTGGTTAATTAAAACACCATGCACACATACAGCTAGCTCTGGCACTCTAGTGTCATTTTCAGGTTTTTAGTTATCTTCTATCTACTCATGAAACTTATACAATATTTAATACTTATAACAATACTTACAACAATATTTCTGATGGCATTGGAAAAAAAACCCTCAATGGCCTAAATTATGAGTGTGGGTTCTGGAGCTTTTCTTTGTTTCTGACCACATGTTACCTTTGCGCATGAAGTCTCCACTCAATATGTTTTCTGGTAAAAACTTATAATTGGCTTTTGAGTCCTTCTTCATCATCCCAAATGTTGATTTCTCTACAACTTTATCGACGTCTGCATCACTCACAACTTTTCCCAAGAAGTTGCAAATTTTCACCACTTCCCTTCTCAGGTCCTTGAAAACAAATATAAAATGAAATCATTACAATAGGAAAATAAGAATGTCTTTTAACTCACCTGTATCATTTCCTCATAGGTCAGATAGAGGATGTTGTACTGGTCATGGACTGAACGCCAAAGACGGATGTGATCAAACCAGGATGAATCCCCTACTGTAAATAGTAAGAAGAAGAAGTTATATAAATATCTCAAATGATGTACACCTTTGCAAGTTATTATCCACATATTTTTATTATTCATGCTTGTTTTGTGGCGTGAGTATAAATATCCATGGCATGTTCCCTCACTCATTGTGCACCGCCCCGCCTTCCGGGCACCTGGGAAACTCATGCATCGCCTTGTGTCCTCCAAGTAAATTAAAATAAAAACTATTTAACTATTTCAACTTTGACTCCACTGTCCTGTTTAATATGTTTAGTTCACCTGGGTCATAACTAGCTTGATTCATCAGCCAGTTTCACTTCGAAGAAACCGTCTGACCTTGCAGCGTTAGAATTCATTCACTCGACGGTAGATGGGCACTTTTTTTTTTTCAATTGCTGCTATTTGGTAGCCATGCATGTAATGCGCCACTAACGGGACTAACTGGTATATTAAGCTTTTCCCAAATCCCGTAGGAAGAAGGGCAATAACATCTTTCCCCTTGATGAAATTCACCAAACATTTTCTTTGTTCCGGCTTTAAATCCGCTATCTCTGGAATCGTTGACAACACAGAATGTATGGCTCTTCCCTGATTGGCTGGTGCCCAAACTTCTTCTGGGGTTTTTGCGAACCATCTAGTCTATTCCGATTCCTGACCTAGTCACTGGAGAGAAATGAAATTGAGCGGTGGAGCCAGCCTGGCTAAATCATAACACCCTTTTAGTACAAAATGCCTGTTTATACTCGAGAAACTTAAAATGGGAGGAAGCAGTATTAAAAAGTATAACAATTTATAATAATAGGCTTAGCGATGTAATTCACAATGAACAAATTATTAAGAAAGATCCCAATCTAACTCCCAATGCTGTATCAATTACTGCCTAGATCATTCTTAATAAACTATTCTTTGTTCATTCTTTATTAAAGCTACCATCTGTAAATTGATCGGTCAAGCTGCCTCCCCATGTTGTATTCTCACATATCACCACTTGATGCTGTCTATGGCACTGCAGTCTGATAGTGTGCCAGCTTTGGCCTAACAGATGAAGATCATAGAGCACAGATGAGCCTGAACATATTGTGAGCACATCATTCAAATAATCTTTCTTACCATTTCCTGCTAAATACTGTTCCAAGAACTCCTCAAAACTATTGGGATTTTCCAGACCTGCCAAAATTTTGGAGAAGTGGTAATAAGAAACAACGTTGTCCTTTGGGTTTCGCATCACATATATGATCTGGAAAGACATACAGAAAAATCATTATGCATCTTTTCTTTGTGTAATAGGAATTGTGGCCACAAGAGGAACCAACAACCCAGAGCTTAAGACTCAGCTATGTTCCACTTTCGCACTTAAACAGATCTGTGTGTTCCAAGCATACAACCACGTTTCCAATGTCAAGGCTGCATTCTATTAAACAACTACCAGAGGGTACTATAGGACAGTTAAAGAACTGACCAAAGCCTTCAAACAGACCACACATAATCTTTCACCTTTCTCTCCCACAATATGGCAGGTTGTCGCGAATCTCATCTGCAGATCTAAACCATCCTCGTATTCCCTAGACGTCTGCTCTACCTTAGATCCAGTACCCTTGTGAAATTACAGATCCAGTTTCAAGCTCTCATTCATCTTCAAAATTTTAGCTCCATCTCCCTCTCAAATCTAAAAGTATGAAAATTCCGATCAGAGTCCTGATCGTGGTGCTGTTCACTTCTGCATCAAGTACGATGTCCACCACTGTCTTCACGGTGATTCCCCCACCTACTCCACAGAACTGTTCACACCACACGGCGCAGCCAGGACCCGGGCATGTCAACAGCACCGTCTGCTCCCACCCAGGACACAGCTCCTGACCATGAGGGATAGGTATGTCTATAGTATGACATGTTTCTAACCTTAGCCTTCTTGTCTTTGAGCCCCGGTGGCATTAGAGCTGGGAGCAGGTGGCTGGTGAAAAGACGAGGAGAGGGTCTTAGTGCATAGTCCGGGCGCGTCCCTCTGTGCTCCAGCCAAGGCATTTGCTCCAGATTATTGGAATACTCATTCAGATCTCCAGACAGCTCACAGATGGAGATCAGAATCTGCTGGGTCCAGATAGTGCCTCATAGGAAATGAAAAATAGAAAATTTAATTCATACAACTATACTATACTATATAAGGGCTGAAGAGATACCTCGACTGCTCGTGACTAGTGAACTATGAAAAAGTACCAGTTGTGGTATTTTTTTTATAATTGTAATCATTATCGTGACGATAGATCCACCACACCACAGGATAATTTGACCAATTCAGGCCCAATTTGTTTCTCCCACACTTTGTTTTTTGTGTCTTCATATGTGATTTTTAAGGCAATGCGCTCCTTGTGTGTTTCAGTTTTGACATGCATCTAAATTAGAAGTGCAGTGCCCTTCTCTTTTGATCTTTTGAGTAGTGCTGTCAAGTGATAAAAAAAATTGAGAGATTGATTAATTACAGATCATAATTTATTAATCTAATGAATCTCTTTTTTAATCTCACCTAAAAATTGCTGAGAAAAGTCTTCAACTTGAGGTATTTTCATTTGAATTCATTATTACATTATTTTCATACTATCATTAATGTTTTTATATAAGTATCATCATTACAATTACTATTACTAATCTGCATAAATAAACTCAACTTTACAACATATAAACCATAACCACTCTAGAGCCACTTCAGCCCGTTTGACATTGTAATGTGTTTAATGCAGCTTTGCGCAAGTCTTACAGAAACAAAACTAACCACATGGCAAATTTGCATAAATTAAGCAGAGAAAAAGGAAAAAAAACAACAAAAAAAACGCTCTTGTGCGCTAATGCGTTCAGCTTTTGTCGGACTAAATGACTCCACTCAGTGGAATATGAGTGTTCTTTCTGTGACAGAGGGATGTTGATGCTGAAGTGAGTCTGTTCTGCGTCTGTGTTGCGATTTTTTCAGAGATCATACATATGCAGGTTTATCGCAGATGTGGGCGAGAACAGGGATGAAAATTACAATTCTTTGCGGGAGTGAGCAGAACAGGACTGCACAGTGCGGGACTGTGTCCTAACAACACGTAAAAACAGATTTCATAATAAGGCAACTCACATACAGAAACAGTAAAGTTAGAGATTAAAAATAATATTAATGCGATTAAAAAACATAACGCGCTAAATATGACTGTAATTAATTAATTGCAATTAATGCGATAATTTGACACCCCTACTTTTGAGTCTCAAAAGTGAGTAATTTTACTCTAAAGAGCAAAACAAATGATAGAGGTGCAATAGCCTTGTTAGCTCGTTTAGATTATGATGTGTGATCTTTTCGCTGCTGTCTTACCCTTGGAGATTTAAAATCTCACACGATTTACCTAATGTCTGTGGTCTGTGTTTTATTGTGCACATTTAAAAATCGTTTACGACTGAAAAATCCTTGAATGTGTGGCAGGATTAAAACTGTTATTTTCCATTGAAACCAACATTCCTCTCCCAAGTCTTCACTTAATTACTATTGTGTCATGACCTCTCATGAACTCCAGTTGTATAAACTACAAATATTTGTCTACAATCATATATAAAAAATGCATCCAAAATGTAAGGGCCTGGAAAGGATTTTGCTCGTAATTAAAACCTTGATTGAACAAAATAAGAGTTTTTTTACAATTTATATTTTACAAAATAATAATAACAACAACAACAACAACAACAACAACAACAACAATAATAATAATAATAATAATTATTATTATTATTATTATTATTATTATTTTGTAAAATATAAATTGTAAAATTGTGTCACCTGTGTTTTAGTGAAATGAAAAACCTGCCATGTGAACTTTAACTTGTTGTAAGACGAGAGTTGACTTACCTGATTTGGGGTAAGTGACCAAGAATAAGTCGCTGTCTCTGATCTGAAAATTCTGAAGTGAGTCGAGGTACTCTGGAGAAGTCCACCGATTGACAAAGGTATTACCTTTGTGGTGACTCAAGTGCTCTGAAACGCGCTCCATTTTAAGACTAGGTGATACACTCAAGTACAGTACTTAATGGTTCACCACTCAGAGAGAGCTAAACTTTCAAGTACCCACGCTTGTGTGATCTCACTGCAACGATCAAAGTCAATGAGTCACAATGTTGCATTATGCTAGGTGTTCTATGAGTGGTATGATATTCTCTCTCTCTCCTACACAGTCATTTGTTTTCCACCTGTTTGCAGTGTTTTGTTTGTGTGTTTGTTTTTTACTGTATGTGCAAATAAAATCTAATCTGATCAGATCATTGTTTTCTTGAATGAATTTTTTTTTGTTTTTGTTTTAGGGTTAGTGAATCAATTCATTTTTTAATAGAAGATTTTATTAACAATATTTTAAACAATATAGAGGTTCACAGTTTGATACTATCATTGCTGTTTTCTGTGATAGTAGCAGTAAAAAGCCTATAGGTAAATAAACATTGTTCTCATTCATGTCAAAGGTTGTTATTAGGTCAATCCCATGGTCATGGGCGGTGCTACCATTAGGCAACAGAAGGCAGCCACCTAGGGCCCCAAACCTAGAGGGGCCCCTAACCAGTAGCCCTCAGTGCCATTAATGACTGAGGCCTCAAAGCAGTTAGATTTTCTCTCAATATGAGAGTGGTTTACGTTTAAACAAGAAAACATCATCAAAATAATATCTGATTGTCAAATCTATTTTAACTGTCAAAGCATCCCCCCTTTCACGTTAGAATAAACTAGTCCAAGAGAACGCACTGAGGAGGGGCCCTGTTGCCTCTGTGGTCATTTCAAAGATGTTTACAAAATGGACAGAGATTAAACTACTGAATGATTCCAGTTGGACTTATTCTTGCTCTTTGAAGTGGACGTGAGGATGTCTCTGTGGTGAGCTATCTGGTTCAAGCTGAGTACTTTTTTGACACTTTTACAATTGGTATAGATCCTCTCAGAACTGTCAGAACAAGCTCAGTGGTTATTTGGACTACAGTCTGGGGACTTTAATTCTGCCTTGATATCCTCTATGGGGACCCATGTAACCCAGGAAAGCTGAAAGGCGTGTTACGAGTAAGGCCCAGTGAGCATCTATTTAAAAAAATCACAATAGCCATGTCCCAATTGGAAGCCTGCAACCATTTTTTTCAAAATATGTCACAATCGGCACAACAAGGCCTGTCCAATTTCATGCAGCCAACAAATGTGGCCCACAAATGCCACCGCATTTCCACGGAGCTATGAACGAAGAACACACATGGCTCTATGATAGACCTTTTTGACAATGATCGGAAGTGCCGTCCTGTAGGATTGCGGAACTTTGAGTTAATGGTCCGGTCCTTGGCCTTGTGCTGTCCTCTGAGCATGTTGGTCAGATAGGTCCGGAGGCTCCGTTCTCCATGTGCTGGTTTCAGATACGGGCGAGCAAGACCAGTGCGCAATGGACTGGGTTCGAGCAGTTCCATGCCGTCCTCTGGTTCAATGCAGGAAAGCGAGAATGCTGTGGACTGCAGGTCCAGGTGGGTTGCTCCAGTCCTCCGCACTTGAGGACCGCGGCTGGTTTCGAGGTGGTGCAAAGCATCCGGACAGAAGAGTGAATACAGTTTGGTTCATTATATATTGTTCTGAGCAGTCTGTCCGTGCACTTGGTTCTTCCTGGGGAAAGCACTTCTCAGGCCGAGGCACGTAACACCACTCCCTGCTCCAGCTCATCTGAGCCTGGCCAGAACTGGAGCTGCTCCCGCTGCTTCAGGAGTCTGGTTTGGATGGAGTTTGACTGTAGCATTTCTCACACTAGGTTAAATGCAGTTCATTTTATAAGTTGAATCAAGTGAACAGAGCCTATTCCGTTTAGACTCTAAACTTTACAGCACTGCATTAATGGACCGAGGAACATACAAACCAGTCGTGATGCTACTGAGTCAAATCTGTATATTCAAGGTGATCACAACTGTGAATGCAGACACAGAGGAAAGAGGTTTTGAGATATCTGTTGAAAAATGTATTGAGACTGTTAAGTCGAGATGTGAAAACTAACAAAAAAGCTGCTATTTTTTCCCCCCTGAAATTAAGCTCTTTGTTTTAAGATGCACAATTTAGCCATTTGATTTATTTTCTGTAATTAATTTTAAACTTCAGCCCTGTATCCAATTAGCCTTACTGTGTGTTTCAGTGTTAACAATACATTTTATTGAGATGTTAACTTGTATTTTCGTTGATTTGACAGTTTATTATTCATACATTCAGACATTAAACTAGGCTGCTTCTGTACCACAATCATAAAGCAAGTTAGATATTATGATTTCCTCTGCATGGGGAGATTTTCTCTAACTGGACCTCCTCAAATTTTAGTTGAATACCCCTGCTATACAGTGTTAATATTTAATGGGCCCCAGACCACTCTGCACTGGAAAAATCAGGCTTCAACGTATTATTAATAAAATATAAAAAAAAAACTAAAATCTGGAACAGTTTTGTTGTAGTTGCTCTTAGAGATTTGCCTTGTAGAAGATAGAACAACAAGAACATTTTGAAAATGAAAACATTTATTACTCTAAATTACAAAATACAACAATCTTTGATGCAATCAAGTATTACTACCATCACCTATTAAAGTGCTTTTACAGTCCCTCAAGATCAGACCTCAGGTCAATCTGTATTCTTACAGAGGTCAGAACCATACATGCTATATATATATATTCTGCAAAATGGAGAAACCAGTTCCAGACAAGAGGAAAAGTGCAAAGTTCAGAAAATAAACTAAACTCTAAATAAATAAATGACACTTTTTGACCACAACTTGAATTTGGAATCAAAATCTCTTTTGTTTTGTTCTATTACAGAAACAGATGATCAAGTTCAGTGATTCATAAAAGAATCCTCTGTTATTCAGTGAACAAGATATAAAATCTGCAGCCTTAAACTTTTTTACATAAAAACACATTGTTTCTTGACCCAAAGAAAATACATTACATTCTACCATTGATTTGTATTGTGTCCATTTGATCTCTATGCACCTAGAACCTCGTGCCCAAGACAAATTTGCTATTGTAGAACAAGAGTTAAATAAAAAAAAACTGTATATTTACAACAATAAAAAGAGCAGACGTGAACCTTATGTTGATCCTATGCTCTTACAACAGACAAAACAATACACTTATGTTGTAACTAGTGCTGTCATGCGATTAAAAAAATTGAGAGATTAATTAATTATGATCTGTAATTCATTAATCTAATTAATCTCATTTTAATCTCACCTAAAAATTGCTGGGAAAAGCCTTCAATTTGAGGTATTTTCATTTAAATTCATTATTACATTATTGTGGCAGATCAAAAGACTGATATAGATTAAAAAAAGTGACTTTATAAAGTCATTTATTGTTTAACAAATCTCTCCAAATTGGTTGTTGAGCCCAAGTCTCTATGAATAAGAAACTGTTTGCTGTAAAGTAGCAAAGACGAGGAAATCTGAACATAATAACTTTTGTCTACTTAAAGACAATAAAAAGTCCAGTCTTTCCTTAACCATATTAAAAATATTATTGATAGAGAAATGCTTTATATATGAGATCACTGGTTTTAGTCCTTGTTTTAGTCCTGGTTTAGACCTGCTTTAGTCCTACTTTAGTCCTACTTTAGTCCTAGAGTAGTCCTGGAATGGATTAATCCTGGTTTTAGTCCTGGTGTTATTTCTGGTTTAGTGCTGGTTTAGTCCTGGTTTAGTCCTGGTTTAGACCTGGTTTAGACCTGGTTTTAGTTCTGGTTTTAGTTCTGGTTTTAGTTCCGGTTTTAGTTCCGGTTTAGTCCTGGTTTAGTCCTGGACTGGATTAGTCCTGGTTTTAGTCTTGGTGTTAGTTCTGGTTTAGAGGCGCACAGGAGGAAGCGCGGTTTACGCAGCGTACGCGAGAAAACACGATCCACACGCGGCTCACGGGAGCACGTCGGTGTCCGCGCAGTAACTACGGAAGGAAACGTGGTCCACGCGTTCTCAGGTTAATGACGATGATGAAGGTGTGTGTTTGTGTGTGTTTGTTTGTGTGCGTGTCCCCTCATGTGGCAGGTCACTATAGGACAGTAGTGCAGACATCATGAGTCTATGCAGGTTGTTTTCACCAGTGACATTTAAGTTGTAGGTGATTTTATATTTGTTATTTTCTTTTATATTTCACGTCGGGAGAATAATTTCCAAGACACGAATGTGTTTTTACCTGTGCACTGCTGCCTCTGTTCTAGTGGCTCTTCGACCTCGTCAATTGTGTGACTGACGCCGCAAACGTGAACATGACGTTTACATCGCTCTTACTGCGTGCGTTTTTTGTGGGTTTCCGGCAATGAGTGGAATTACTGAAATAAAAAAATAATAATAATAAATGTGTTTTTTGTGTGTGTGTTGTTGTTGTCCCAACAACACATAAAAACAGGTTTTATAATAAAGCAACTCACATACAGAAACACTAAAGTTAGAGATTAAAAATGAGATTAACGCGATTAAAAAACATAACACGCTAAATATGACTGTAATGAATTAATCGCAATTAACGCGATAATTTGACACCCCTAGTTGTAACACAAAGAACAGCCTATTTTCTTTGCAGTATTAGCTCATATTTCATGTCCTCTAATATCACAATCTGTCGATATCCATTACAATTAAAAAAGCCCCAAGATAATCATTGTAATCTGTAAATTATTTGATCATGATTTAATTGAATTGATTTGAGCCCTATTTTTGACTGTGTTACAAATGTGTATTTTAAAATAAATATTTAAAGTTCCTGTAGCCTCCCATGTATTTGAGCAAAAATTGTCTTTCCCCACTACAGATATATAAGCAGCTCTTGAGGTCAAAATACTAAAAAAATGAGGTGAAATTTGAATTTTTAGGCAAATTTTTAATCAGATTAAGTTTATTTAGATACTAAATACGATATCCAAAATCCTCTTTGTTTATTTTTTAGTATCTAATATGTCAACAAAAAGAAGCAATACAGTATGTTTAAACCTGTTTCTGTTTTGAATGTGCCAAATATGGTGCATTTTGGCTCTTTTTACACATAAAATACCTTATTTTTATATAAAAACTTTACATAATGGAAAACTTGTAATACATTTTTCAAAATGATATATCTAAATTTAAGATTTTCTATATCTATTCACCTGCAGTGCCTGGTCTAAGCTTCTAAGGAAGAGAGAACTGATATGATTTGAGGTAAGTGACCAAGAATAAGTCACTGTTTCTGATCTGAAAATTCTGAAGTGAGTCGAGGTACTCTGGAGTAGGAAGGTAAAACCTTTGTATTGACTCAAGTGCTCAGAAATCTGCTCCATTTTAAAACTTGAAAGTCAAATATAAAACTCTGTACTCAAGGTTTCACTGCTCACAGATGAAGACTTCATGTTTTAAGTCACCTAACAAGACAAGAGTTGTAGAAAACTGGAAGTTGACAGTAACCTCTCCTTTTAAAAGGCCAACAGGTCAGAGCCCAGACACACACACATGCAGGTGCTCACAGAATCCTTTTTAACTTGTTTCAAAACACATGGATATGACATGATGAAAGCATCGACTGTATAAGCGAGTGTGATATCACCCATAGTGTCCGGTTCCACTCAAATGAAGCGTGCGATGCTAGACCAAAAAGACAAGGCTCACAGCAACAGTTACAGAAAGAGGAGACAGAAGCAGCCGGAAGAGCCCACATGTCAACTTCCTATTTGGAACGTGGCGGCTAGCGCGTTACCCATGTCCATTTATATATAAAGTCTATGACTGAAAGACAAGTTGAAAAATTCCCTGAGAACTCTAATGGCAAAAGGTCCACATACAGATGCATTCACTGTATGTACTATGTGCATTCATGTGCACACACACAAGCACACTATTGTATGTATCTAATTACAAATGTTTCATTATTTGATAATCAGGAAGTGAGTGCTAGTTATTGTTAGCTTTACCATCACAGCAAGACTCATCGTGGTGAATAATTAAGATGTTCAGAACATGCAAGGTAAAACACTCACTTTGGACCACTGCCAGCCGTTTAAAACATGAAAAACAGAACTAAATCATTTTAAAGACAGTAAACTCAGGTTCAGTACCTTTAAGTCTGGCTTTAATATGGCTTTAGGATATTCATTGTTCAGCCTAGAGCCTAAAACACAATACTATTGTACCACACAGCTCTGATTTGCTGTCTCTGTTGGTTGGTCACCCACTGCTTCAGACAAAGCTTCATTGTCCTCAGTCTGTGTCTCCCATGTGATCTGCTCCTCAGGGTAAAAGTCAGTCACAAGAATGTCTTGTTTTGTCTTGAAGGACGGTTCCCCTTTCTCCAGGAGCTCGTAGATCTTCTGCCATGATGTCATCTCTGAGCGCCACAGAGCCGATCGGGCGCGGATGAATTTGGACAGCTCAGTCTCAGTGCCTCGGGCTAAACTCATGCTGTCTTTGACGATGAAGAACACGTCCATTCCCAGAAAAAGAGAGTTGAGAGCGATGAAGCCTCCTCTGGCTCCGCTGGACAGGGCCAGGGGTCCTCGGGCTGCAGCCTGCCCCACGTCAGGCAGCTCAGAGGCCACCCGTGGGACATTACGCAAAGCTCCCCCTTCTTCAGCCAAAACTTTACCTGCACTGGCCACCGCCTCTTCAGTCCTCAGCAGTTTCACAGCAGAGGCAGTGTCCACCAGGGAATCAATGCCTTTTCCAATGGCACCTAAAACAAACACGAGGAGGAAGTGAAAAAATGCAAACAGATTAATAGTAACAAAAAGGGCTCAGCTAAATACAAGAAGTGTGCTAAAAGTGTGTATAAGTGTGTGTAAGGTTTAGTAATATTACTGGTAGTAATATTTTCTTTGTGACATGCTGTCCCACATGGTCTGTTCTTGGGCCATTGTTGTTCACTGTCTATATTAACAATCTTCCTTCAGTGCGCGGTGATGTAGAACTCCAAATGTATGCGGATGACACTATTATTTATGTGCATGGAAATGATGACAAACACTCAACACAAAATTGATGATTGACTTGATTCTACATTGCTTACTTTAAATAAAATGGAAATTTCCCTCTTCAGATTAGGGATGGGCATTCGATGAAATTTTCTAAATCGATCGTCGGAGGAATTAACGATCGATTATCAATTAATCATTAACGGTTTTATATTAAAATGATCATCATTATTATTACTATCTGCACTACTAATCTGCATAAATAAATTCAACTTTACGACATATAAACCGTAACGACTCTAGAGCCACATCAGCCCGTCTGACATTATAATGTGTTTTTCAGTTTTGCGCAACTCTCACAGAAACGAAACTTAAAATCGCATCGCTAATTTGCATAAACTAAGCGAAGATAAAACTACAGCTCTTGTGCGCTGATGCGTCAACTTCTGTTGGATTAAAAGACACGACTCAGTGGAATACAGGTTAGTGTGACCATATTTGCGTTTGTCAAAACCAGGACACCGTACGGGGGGAGGGAGGTGGGTCCTCGTCATCGACATTACGCGACTCTCACCAGGCAAAACGTTTTCCCACTGGACACCGATACATGTGTGCTGCTTTGCACACTGTGCACGTGGCCTCCCAATTTTCCCGAACGGAACGGAAAGCGTGGAATTTCTTGCACAAATCATCGTTAAATACGCATTTGCACTTCAGTACGTTACAGACTGACCCACTGTTTGTGTCTCGCTCTTTCTGAGTGCAGAGAGACACATGTACAGACCTGTTCGGTCAAGCTACACACAGCAACCTACATTTGGTTTGTCAATTAAAACGAACGTAATCGATGAAATTCTTAATAATCAATTATCGATTAATCAGCTAATCATGCCCATCCCTACTTCAGATTAGAGCCCGACCGATATGGATTTTGCTGTGGCCGATATGAAACCGATATAATGGAAGTTGGAGCTGCCGATAGCCGATATAATCGCCGATATATTTAGTGATGTAAAAATTCACTGTAAATGTTGAATTGTTTAAAAAACTTAGGTTTGGCTCTGGTGGATTTTAAATTGGGTTTATTTAGGCAACATTTATTGTTATTCTGCCTCTTTACATCATATTTACAGACAGTAGGTTGACTTAATGGCATTTTTGCATCACATTCTAGACACTAGTGATGGGTATTCCAGTTCTTTTTAGAGAACCGGCTCTTTTGGCTCGGCTCACTAAAAGCTGCTGGTTCTTTTGGCTCCCAAGTGGCTCTTCAGATTGTTTTGTTGCAAGCAGGACTAAAGCACGTCTAAAGCAGGACTGAATCAGAACTGAACCAGGTCTAAACCAGGACTGAAAAAGGACTAAACCGGAACTTATTTATTTTATGCTAAACTACAGTCAAATATTTTTTTTTTTTTTTTTTTTTTTTTTTTATCCTACGTACACGCAAATTTCTCAAAGTTTCCTTTTTAGCCGCTGCCGCTGTCAAACCACGAGTCTGCACGCGGCGTGAAGAGAAAAAAAGTGAGAGAAAGAGAAAACACGGCTCCCAATAAGGATCAGGCTCCCGTCGTTCCCTTCAAAGAGCCGGTTCTAAGAGTCATTTCGTTTGCGACTGACCCATAACTAGTAAAGAAAGTAGCGCTATTAGCCTTTAGCCGTAAATACGTGCGCGCCGCGGTAATTAATTATATGCGCAAATGTCATAATTCACACGTCTGTTCACAGCTCATTTACATATCAGTGCAGGTCCAGTAGCAAATATACGGCCAATATAGTCACTTTAGAACAGACCAATAGAAAACAGTCTGTTTATGTGCGGGAGCTACAGCAGCTAACCCATAACAAATGACAAAAACTAGCTTCAAAGTCGACATATTTCCAACACTCACCGCTCATACAGGCTCCTCCTCACATCACAAATCTGCACTAATAAATGTCCTTTTAATCCAGACTCAAACCGATTGTCCGTAAAAAGAAAATAATCTCAGTGTTTGGATCTGTGTCTGCAGGTGTAAACAAACACATGTGAGTGACGCGACTCTGTGGTGTGTTCAGGGACAGTACGGACACACACAGACAAATGACTCCGTAGATAAATACTGATGCGGAGCCACATATTAGGACATTTATCTGTCTGTAAATTGGATTAAATGAACAGAACGTAGAGTCTAAGCTTTATAACGAGGTATAACATGCTCACGTGAAATATCGGCCCCTATCAGCAAGCATATCGGCCGATAGCCGATATGCCTAAAGTTGCCCATATCGGCCGATAATATCAGCCAACCGATATATCGTCGGGCTCTACTTCAGATACATTCGAAATACACTACAGCAAAGGTTTATTTAAATGCAATGACCATTTCTTATATAAACTATTGTTCTGACCTGAGGGAATTCTCTTATCTTGTTAGAAAAGTCCTTTTAAATCTGATCTATAGCACCTCTTCTTTTATGAGATTAATATGTTTATATTAAGATAAACCAATCCAGTAAACCCGATATTCAAACATTTATCTAACCATGCTCCTGTGGTTCGGTGGCGTTAGTCCTCCAACAAAGGCCAATAGAAGATTGTTTAAGTGCATTAATATAAAGATTAACCTGCTTTGCCCAGTATTTGTACAGCGCCCACAGCTACATCCACAGCTACATCCACAGCATCCAGAGGAGAACCTTCAGATGTGACATCATCCAGACAGTCCTGGATGTTCTTCATGTCTTCCATAAACTTCTGGAAGGTCTCGTTGGCCCTCTTCTGCTGTGTGTGGTTCACTCCGATCTCGGTTGCTGTGGTGACTGCACTGTTGACTCCGCTAGTGATGCCCAGGCCCACCCCAGTCATGGTGAGGGCCAGAGAGGCTCCTGCAGTCACAGGGATCAGAGCCAGCCCAATGATGGACAACACTCCTCCCACAGCCCCCACAGAGCTGCCCGTCACACTGGAGATACGAGCTCCCAGGTTCATTCGGTCCAATTGAACGGCACTGTCCTCCAGCTCCACCAGAAACTGCTGCATTCTGGGCTCAGACTCACTGAAGCACTGCATGAAGCTGCTGCAGTACTCCTCCTGGAACAGGAACATCATCCTGAAGGCCTCGTCCTGCCTGAAGACCACAGAACACACACACTGGACTGAACATTGTGGTACACTACATTTACATGCTTATCAAAAAACAGGACAACACAACACAAAGCACCACATAAACAAACACCATAGAACAGAATAAATACTTGGTCTCATATTTATTCTGTTCTATGGTGTTTGTTTATGTGGTGCTTTGTGTTGTGTTGTCCTGTTTTTTGATAAAGCATGTTACCCCCTGTCCTAAGGCAAATTTCTCCCATGGGAGACAATAAAGGATTATCTTATCTTATCTTATCTTACTTATGATGATACTTAGGATCATTCAGCAGGAGGCCTGAGGGCTGCAACTGTCCATAGTTTGGACGGCCTGATTTAGAACATAGGTGAGGTTCTGTTAACCTGATATTACACAGGTCGTACAGAGGAGGCTGCTTCAGGGATCAGTTATGATCAAACGTGTCTTACCTGAGTTCTTGGAGCAGAGTGATGTTGTCCAGCATCTTTTGAACATTGCCCTCTGAGATTTCTTCACTGATGTCCACCACAGGTTTGAAAAAGCTGAAGTCGCTCAAAGACCTGTAAAGTAAACAATTGTTTAAATTGTTTACAATTTTGTTCAATGGTAATGTTTATCTGTAAAATTTCTACTTTATGTACCTGTTTCTAAAACGTCCTTACATTTGTACTATTGGACTATACAAACAAACCTAACATGATTTGACTATTTGACACTCAATCAGAACTGTCCACTGCATGATTTTTTTTTATCTTATATGATTATAAGTTTTTTCAGAGTGAATATCGGGCTCCAGGTTCCATATGGTGATGTCTCCGTAATTGTACCAGGCAGCAGTACGTAAATGAAAGGAATGAGGGAGAGATGGTTCATGGAAGAGCTCTACTGCTGTTACTCAGGAGCTCTTTTGTTGACTGTTGGATAAAAGATGCAGATTCAGTGAGAGAAGTCTCACTCTGAGATCAAGACTCCAAAATATCAGACACTCTTGATTTTAACTCGTCTTTGGTCATACGATGGTTAGAAGGCTTACTCTGAGACCTATGACCCACAATTTTTAGCCATGACTCAAGATTTTCTTTACTATACTGTAACACACTTTACAGTGGTTGTATTTAATTTATAAAATGTGATGTTTCATGTTAATATCGTCAATAATTTTATATTTTCCTCATTAGCAGATTATTTTTTTCTGCGACTCATAACGGATCAAATCGGTATCGTGGCCCATGTATTGAGATACATATCAAATTGTGAGAAAACTATGTTGTTGTATCTCTAGTGAACACAACATTACTCAATTCCATTATCTCTAAGAATCGAGTTTCTTTACCCTTTCTTGATGGTGCCACAGATTGTCTGGCACAGACTTGATGTACTGGTCCAGCTGATAGGCCAGCACCTCCACGTTCTGTAGTTTGGGGCTGAAGAAGTCTTTATCGTCTCGTTTGAACTCCACCAGCAGGGGGCAGATATTCTTAGCTACAGTGATGATGTCCTGCACTGTGCCCAGATCGCCCCCTTCAGACAACAGCAGAACTGGGTTCTCCTCCTTAAACACGTGCACAGAGGTGACGGCCAGTTTCTCCACAGCGTCCAGGAACAGGCCCAGAGTCTGCAGCCCCATCAGGCAGGTCTTCAGAGAGGCACTCAGCTCCTCCTGCAGCTCTGCCCTCTGCTCATCTACCACTGATGGGAACAACTTATTCTTCATAAACTCCACGAATGCCTTTCCTTTCTCCTGGAAACAATTAGCAAATAATGGCAAATGTGTTAAAGATGACAGATATATACATTTTCGTGATATTTCTGAGTTCACAAACTCCAGAGAATCCATCTAATCTCCTGCTGTTGCGATTGCCCAGGTCAAATGTGGTTCAGACCAATCACAGTGTGGTTTGGGTGGAGATGAAGGTAAAGCACTCAAATGAACCAAAGCATGACACCAGACTTATTTCAGCCTATTTTAAAGGACGTAATATTTGTTTTTGAAAAACTTTGTGCATTTGTGGATGGAAAAAATGTCTGTGCTTTTCCCTCAACTGGATTTAACAAAGTTTTCTTGGCTTGTCTCAGCGATAGCTGTTTCAGATTGATAAATATAGAACTCATTCATTTGTAACGATTAATGTCCTGAGTACAGAAAACTACAGTGACCAATCAGATTCTCTCCTTGCAGTTGATTGACAGACAGACACAGACGCTAGTCTATTTATTTAGTCCCGCCCATGCCTTCTCCAGGCCTGCGCCGCTCCTATGTAATGACTGAAGCGGCCACCAGCTGGCGCCTCACTGTTTTACTTGCATTAAACGTTATTTGACAGCTAGTTTGAATTGCGATTCACTTTTAACAACATGAAATAAATGGTAAATGGTCACTTTTTATTTAGCGCTTTTCCACCTTCCTTGGCATCACAATAAGGAAACACCCATTCACACAGACACACATACACCAGTGTACGCAAACACTGGGGCAAAAGTGGGTTAAGTGTCTTTCCCAAGGACACAACAACTCCATTCATCTGTGGGAGATGGAATCACACCGCCAACCTGTATGTCAATGGCTCTGACTGCTCAACCAATGACGTTTATGTCAAGAGCAGGATTCGAATCTCCAACCTTTGGATCAGTGGACAAATGCTGTACCAACTGAGATACCATCCCATAATGAGAAGATTCTTTCTTTTGAGTTTATTATTTGGACTATTTAAAAAAAAAAGCAATGTCTGTGTTCACTGTGTAAGGTGTCCTGAAAAGTGTAACAGCGCCATGTAAAACGATCATCACGTCATTTATGATTACAGCTAATAATGAGATGATATTAAACATGATCTGTAGAGAAGCAGCCCTGCTCACAGTCAGAATGCCTGTTTTTCCTAGGTATTTTTGAGCTATATAACTACCTGTAATTTAATAAATGTAATGTAGAGCTGTTTAATGTCATACTGTGGAACATTTCAGGCAAAGGAATGACATCCTTAGCATAGGTGACGAACCACCATCCAAAAAGTTACATAGTGCACCTTTAATTTGGCTTATGGTCATTTTAAACTTTGGTAAGCTGTTCTATCAATAAAGCTATTTTAGAAAGATGTTGTAAATGATTAATTATAACTGGAGGGCATAGCGCACTTCTCTACAATCACATATTTACCTGGGACTGGGTAACATGTCTCAGGCTCAGGTCAATTGTGGCTGCTCTCTCTTTTATGTCAAGTAGGAGGTGTAACTCTGTCTCTCTCGTCAGCATCCAATTGGACAGTCCATCCAGGAAATCCTTCAGTGTCTCTATGTACGAGAAGGTCTCCAAAATGTAAATGTACAGCGCCTCCTTCAGGTCTGCCCTGTTCAACACAAGAGACAAAAAAGAAAAGCAAATAGTGGTTATGACTGAGGTGGGACACAATTTTCACAAGCCAAGACAAACCACAAGATTAGGTCCACGAGAACGAGACGAGATGAGATTTTTACATAATTCCTAATATATACATTTCACAGTTCAGTTTCCAATTTTGGCCTCACAGTTTTGTTATTTCATTTCATAGATTTGTTTCCATTCTAGTGCTGTTTTTTGGAACTGTAAGAGATGTAACTCACCAACACGTAACCCTTTTTTGTCCAATCCAAATGTATACACATGGAAAAAGATCTGCTCTTGTGTGTGCACAATCTTGTCGCAATTTTGTTTAACAAGATCTTGTGACATGAGATCTTGTACCACCCCTAGTGGTTATGACTAAGCATTTAAAAAAAAAACAAAAAAAAAACATGAGAACTCATATAATCAAGTTAAAAGTCTAGTCACAACTTGTCCCATTCTGTAAAAAAAGTTAGTCTGGAATAGGACTGAGCAATATAGAAAATAAAGAAAAAATTACCCTTTTCCTCTCATATTGCTTAATGACAAATTTTGGTGAGATTTAAACAAAAAAAACTGTCAGATTTCTTCCTCCAAAGTCCGAGCCCCAAACGACACGCTTTCACTGACAGAGGATTGGCTGTATTTCCATTATGGTAAAAAGACCCAAGCTAATCAATGAATAATTCATCATAATAATTCAACACTTTAATTAAATGCACAGCCTTAGAGACCTTTCCACTGTGTAGTAAAAGTACTGCAGTACAATCACATGTTAAGGTTGTGTTGAAGTGAAGTCACAACAACTAGAATCTCTATAAGAGTTGTATATAAGCTGGGGGACAGGTTCTGTGGGGCAATTTTCTGTTTAACTATCAGAAAGCAGATTTGTTAACCTGGTTTATAGTTAATCTCTCTAATTACTGGGCCTATCCACATGAAACAAAAAGTAGCACTAAATTCAGCATTTCTGTTGTTTAAGTAAACAAAAGTGTTTTTGCACAATCCTAACTTAAAGGTCCTATATCATGCAAAATTGACACTTGTGAGCTTTAAGGCATATTATAATGTTGTTACCTTCTTAAAAACACACCCGGAGTTGTGTCTGGTTTCATTCACACATGTTTGAGTAATCCTGGTTTATTAATCTGTCTCCGTCTCCAAAGATCAAAACAAATCCTTGAGGTGTCATGAAGCAATAGTTTTCTGACACCTTTTACCTTTAGTGCAACAGAGATTGAAAATTACAGGAATGAAATCATGCAAATGATTCTAGTGAAGGTGTATGTAGTTTAGTGGAGCACTTCCTGTTGGAGCCATGTGCCTTGTGTGTGTGTCACCAGTAGAGGGTGCTGTGGGGTAGGCAACATTTAGGAGAACCCCTCCTAAACACACAGATTGTTGACCACCATGCTTATCGTCCTTGTATGATTTTAACCGTTTTGATACACTGATGAACTTTTAGCCTTTCAAGTAATAAAGAAATTATTTTTATTAAGATTATTGCCTACCTGGGATTTGTCTACGCCAGACCAGCATGTTTCTTACTATTCTCCGGATCTGCATCCCTCAGAGGTCTAAGTGGGATTTTGCCAAAACTCTTCCTGTATTACCACATGATATCACAAAGTGGAACAGAGTGTTTTCTGTTTAAGAGAAGAACTCAGTCTAGATATACAGGATTTGTGTGTTAAACATGTGTGAATAAAACAAAACACAACTTCAGGTTGTGTTATTACATAAATAATATTATTGTATGAAATCACATCTTTGAGGTTGAATCAGTTGAAAAGACTTTAAGGCATAATATTAACATAGGAGGTTTGTAGAGCCAGTTCCTAACTGATAATAATAACGATCAACATTTGTGTATCTGTTTGGATATTTCCACATGGATACATTTTAGTATTGTGACAACACTAGATCCTGCAACAGGACAAATAAAAGTAAAATTGAGGACAAAAAACAGCATGGGAGATATTTGAGCTGTTTTCTGCATTTGAATGGCATGTTCCATGTGATTGATTTATGATAAGAACTTCTCCACTCCTGTTTTTAAAGGTCCTATAGCACACAAAATAGACTCTTGTGAGCTTTAATCCATGTTATAATGTTGTTACCTTATCAAAAAAATATTTGGAGTTGTGTTTTGTTTTATTCACATGTTTCGATAATCCTTCATTATTAGTCTGTCTACATCTTTAAAGTTCAAAATGCTCTGCTCCACCTTGTGATGTCATGAAGCAATAGTTTTCAAATTAACACCTATCTTGTACCTTTTGTCTCGTAGAAATGGGAAGTTCCAGGGCTGAAAAGGTCCAAATGATTCTAGTGAGGGTGTATGGAGTTTAAAAACACAGTGGAGCACTTCCTGTACATGGCATCACAAGGTGGAAGAGAGTGTTTTCTATTTGGAAGAAGAACTCAGCCTAAATATGTAGGGTTTGTGTTACACATGTGTGAATGAAACAGAACACAACTACAGGGATGTTTGTGAGGAGGAAACAACATAATAACCTGGATCAAAAAATAGTGAAGCCCTTTAAAATGAAAGTATCTAGAGTATAGGCCAAAACACCTCATAGAATGTTATTGTACACCAAGGACCCATTAACACTCACACTTTCATGATATAAGCAGACGCTGTGGGCAAAGGTGAGATGTCTTGCTCGTGAACACAATGGTAGATATGCAGACCTGCTGAGCTACTGTTGTCCACACAGAAGGCCAGCAGCATGAATCATTAACTTCATCACATGTTTGTTTAGTATCTTACTAATCTCTTATGTTGACAGGAGCCCAACCCAGCTCCTTAAGATAGGGCCTACTGGACTATATGTCTAAGTCACAATGCTTTTTACTTCACTACATTTGTATATGTACTTTCACTTTGTATAGCAATGTGTGCAGGAGCAGGCAGGTAAACAACTATACACTCAAATTTTCTGATGATATGGCTAGTCTTAGTCTACTCAACAAAAGCACAGACATCATCAGGTATAACACAGAAATTTATGAATTGCTGCACTGGTGTGAGGAGCACAACCTTGTCTTAAATGTGGAAAAGACAAAAAAGATTATCTTTGACCCCAAATCTGTCGGGGACCCACAGCCCAGCATGCACAATTTGTCTGCTCAAGAATCACCCAGCATCTCCATTTTTTAAGACAACTTAGGTTACATGGAGTGGATACAAATGAAATGCTGATGTTTTACAGAGCACGTATGGAATAAATTTTACGTTATGGCATGTCAACATGATTTGGTAACCTGTCAGTCAAACTGAAATCACAGATTTCTACCTTGACTAAAAGAGTGGGTAAAATAATGGGTGTGGTCCTAAGCTCACTTTAATAAATTTTTGAGGACACTGTTAGGAAGGTCGCCAACTCACGTTCTTCACAATCACTTTGAGGACCCAAACTGTAAACTGAACATATTCAAACATTCTTTTGTGCCATTAACTGTTAATCTGCTAAACTCACATAGCGCAGTTAAAAAATTTAATTAAAAGGCTTAAGGAATGTGCAGTCAAACCTGCACACAGTTCAAGGGAATGTGCAATTAAAACTACACATAGGCTTAGGGAGTGTGCAAATATTAATAGAATACAAGATTGTGAAGGGCTTGCCTGTAAAGAGTGACTTAAAGGTCCTGTTGGTGTATCACTTGGTTTCTTATTTATTTCTGTTCTGTGGTGGTGTTTGTATGGTGCTGTTGTTGTTGTGTTGTCCTGTCTTTGTAATAAAGCATGTGATCCTCAGTCCCAATACAAATTTCTCCCATGGGAGACAATAAAAGATTATCTTATCTTACATTTGAGAGCAGGTATCTGTACGTTCTACTCCACAACATTTTTTAACAGGTCTGAAAAGTAAAAACATTTTTTTATCATATGAGGGCTGCTGAAAAGGCTGAGTTTTTTGTTGTTGTTTTTTTTAAATCAATACTTTTGCATTTTTAAATGGGTACTTTAATATTTTTACTTAAGTAGATTTTTCTCATTTGATACTTTTACTTTTACTTGAGTACTTTTTTGCCTAAGTACCTGTACTTTTCCTATTACTATCTGTTTGTATTGGAAAGCTACATAAGTCTGTGTATCCCAACCGGGGGAACAGGGACCCCTTAAAGTGCCTAGGACAGGTCGGACTACTCATTTTACTAAAACACAGATAAAATCACAAAAAACTGACAAACAAATTCAATTATTTTTCAGAGTTTGGCATTTTTTTCCCCTTTGGTTTAAACTATACCTTTTTTCCTAAACTTTTATATGTGTTTTTATTTGTGTGCATTGGGTCCACTTTTATGAAATGTAAGTAGACTATATTATTTTACAGTTAATAAATACTTAATTAAATAGAAAATACTAATGTTATGTAGACTTCCAGTGTTGTTTGCCGAGGTATCCAGCAGATGTCGCCAGAGGGGCACGGGTATTGAGATTTGACACGCTGTGTAGACTACATAATTTTTTTTTTTTAATTTTATTTTTTCCCCCTTTCGTTACAGAAATAATAGTATGTCAAAAATGTTCAGCATCTTCAATGTAGATGACCACCTACCCTTCATATTGGTAGTTTTCAGATTCTACGTTGTTTTTTTCAGATTCTACAATTCTGCAACAACAGTTTTCTCTATTGATGGCATTGTACTTTGTCATGAAATATCTAAAAGGTGAATTCACAAATGTTGAACCTGATGATTTTTGTTGAGGACTAGACCCAAGAACTCACTGCATTACAACAAAAATCTGCACTTTAAAACTTACTTTTAGCTGCTCCCTTCTGTATTTTAATCATACTGCTTTATAGAATGATGTCATCTGAAACCCAAATTTTGAAGAAAAAAAAAATTTTCCTACTAGTTTTTAGCTTCCTAAGCTTGTGATCCACCTCAAAAACGGTATGCAAACTATAATAGTCTTTTATAACAATTCAGAAAGTTAGAAACTGCTTAGTTTACCTCGTGGACGTTTCCTCCTCTTGCGTTAGCTCGTCTCTTTTCGCTTCTTCCATCGTGGCTTAACGAGGTTTAAAGAGCAGATTGTCAAAAACCCATTTGTTAAATATGGCCTCTGTCCCGAAGTGCAGGTAAGTTATGCGTTTACAGTTTCGTTTCTCCTACATCACCAGCTGGTTCAACAACTTTTGACACACCCTTAAGTAACTCCACAGTCCACCTCCTCCAGCTTTATGAACATAGAAATCATAGAAGCTGCGTCCGCCATATTGGGACGGGACACCTCAGCATTCTACCATAAGAATCAACGTTATTAGAGGACCACCACAAATTATTTATCTATGTATATCTTTTATACAATAGCTGTTGGTTTGGATGGATTTTCTTATGTTAAGAAATAAGACTTTTATGGCAGCAAGTTTCACCATAGAAAGTCCACAGAGCCGCTGTAGTGCGCCCTCAAGTGGCCACTATCGTTTAAAACACGTAAATCGCCCTTCAAACCAGATTTAAACTAATAATTTGAGAATGGTGAGGAATGAAATCAATAGTAACAATAGTTTTCTGCTACTTATGTTTTGTTTTTGTAAGTTTAAATATCTTTATTATCAAAGTATTTATTTTATAGTCTTATCTGGGCTTTAGCTCTTAGATTTACATTTTATTCACATATTTGGAGCAGTAAATTAGTGTAACTGAACTTTACTTGTGAAAGGATTGTCCATTTTTCCTGGCTTCATTGTTTCTGGCTTCATAGAATAAAAATGAACAAATAATTAAAAAAAAAGTAAAATCTCTAGCTTCCACGGTCTGGCATTAACTTTTTTTTATGATTTTTAAAAAATATATATGATAAATGTGTTGCTCAGAAAAAATATACATAAAAACTTAAATTCTTACTGTGAGCAGTACACAGATTTTTTAGAAGTTTAAAGGACCCCTGCAAAACACAACTCCAGGTATGTTTTTGATGAGGTAACAGCATTTTAAGAAGCAAGGCAAGTTTATTTGTAAATCACAATTTGTACACAAAGTAATCCAAATTGCTTTACAGAATAAGAAAGATATTAAAATTGAAGACAAACAAATCAAAACATAAATAATCATAAAATGAACATTAAAAGAGAAGAGTGCAGAATAAAAACCTTTAAGTCATATGCAGCGAAACAGAACTGTTTTGAGCCTGGATTTAAACAGCATCATAGTAGAGGTCTGTCTCACATCTGTTCCAGGTTTTAGCTGCATGAACCTGAAACGCTGACTCCCCGTGTTTAGTCCTGACTCTGGGCACCAGCAGGAGGTCGGTCCTTGAGCTCCTCAGAGTGCAGGTGGTTCATATGGCACTAACATGTCATTGTTGTGGTAGGATACATTATTACTGTATATTTACTGGCCTGTAGGGGGCAGCATGTTGAGATTAAACAAAAAGAGACCCAGGATTGACCCCTGGGACACCCCACAGGTCAGGGTCATGTAATCTGAAACAGTTTCCAATTTCAACCAAGTACATCCTGTTTTTTTTTTAGATAGGACTTGAACCATGGATCTATTAAAATAACCAGAACCAAAATAACTTGAACCAGTTTAGTGCAGTACCAGAGATGCTCACCTCTAGTTTCTGTAAGAGGATCCATGATCAACAGTGTCAAAAGCAGTACTCAGATCTAACAGGATCAGGATTGAGACTTTGACTGCATCATTGTTCAGGCAGATGTCATTTGTGACCTTGATAAGAGCAGTGCCAGTGCTGTGGTGGGCAAGTGAGAAAGTTAGTAAGCTATTGGTAAACACATCTTTCAAGGATTTTGCCAGAAACGGCAACTGCAGGACCAGTGGTTTGGGAATAACAGACAGGTCAAAGAAGACAGAAATGATCAGACATCAACCACATTGACATTTGAAATATTTACACTCTTTGTATTGAGCAGGTCCAGAGTGTGCCCTCTGTTGTGTGTGGGCTCGCTGACATGCTGACATGCTGAGTCAGACCAAAAGTTTCAAGGACAGCACTGAGGTCTTCTATCATACACATTATCCACTCATAATAACATGAGATCACAAGAGTACATTTTTTCTAGTATAGGACCTTTAATGCTATACTGTGGCACATTCCAGGCAAAGAAATAACATCTCTATTGAAACAAGCATCTAGCTGACACTCCACCAGAAAAGTGATGAGGTAACATGACTAAACGGTCACAAGAGTAAATTTTGCGTAATATAGGACTTTTAAATCTCCCCAGACAGAGTCTTCAATCCCAAATCTGTACTTTACCAATCAATGGTACTTCACTTTAATCTCCAAATTGAAGAAATCAGCACAGGCGTTGTCTCCAAGTGCTCCAAGTGCTTAAGGAATTATTTACAGGAGCCTCAGGGGTGTCTTCACCTGCCCCAAACAAAGCAAAGGGTTTGTCCTTGTTTATGGATACTGTTACTATTATGACATCTTGAAGGACACTTGTGAGACTAGGACTTAGGTTGCCTGAGATCCAGAATAAACACTTCTCCAGTAATTTATGTACACGTGAGTCTGATCACTGTTCAGTCTCCCTGAGTTTAGATGGGCATGATTGACAGGTGGATTAGCCAATCAGAGACACACACAGTCTATCCTGTATCCAAATAAATATGGCTACTCACAAGGAAAAAAGAAAGGAAAAAATATTGTTAGCTTTGCCATGGCAAAACTCATCGTGGTGAATAATTAAGATGTTCAGAATGTGCAAGGTAAAGCAATCACTTTACCACTGCCAACCGTTTAAAACATGAAAAACGGAACTAGTTCATTTTTAAGACAGTAAACTCAGGTTCAGTACCTTTAAGCATGATTGCTTCAGACCAATAATATGGCTTTAGAATATTCATTGTTCAGCCTAGAGCCTAAAACACAGTACTATTGTATCACACAGGCCCACTTTTCTGTCTCTGTTAGTTGGTCGCCCACTACTTCAGACAAAGCTTCATTGTCCTCAGTCTGTGTCTCCCATGTGATCTGCTCCTCAGGGTAAAACTCATTCACAAGAATGGCTTGTTTCGTCTTGAAGGATGATTCCCCTTTCTCCAGGAGGTCATGGATCTTATGCCACGATGTAATCTCTGAGCGCCACAGAGCCGATCGGGCACGGATGAACTTGGACAGCTCAGTCTCAGTGCCTCGGGCCAAAATCATGCTGTCTTTGACGATGAAGAACACGTCCATCCCCAGAAAAAGAGCATTGAGAGCGATGAAGCCTCCTCTGGCTCCTCTGGACAGGGCCAGGGGTGCTTGGGCTGCAGCCTGCCCCACGTCAGGCAGCTCGGAGGCCACACGTGGGAGATTACTGGCCAGAGCGTCACCAGACAACACAACAGCAGCTTTAGTCGCTGCTGACCCCACATCTTTGCACACGGCCACTCCAGCAATCGGATGGATAATTTGGCCATCCACTCCAAGTTGCCTCATTTCCAGGAGACAGTCCTGGACATTCATCATGGCTTCCATGAACTTCTGAAAGGTCTCGCTGGCCCTCTTCTGCTGTGTGTGGTTCACGCCGAACTCAGTTGCAGTGGTGACTGCAGTGTTGACTCCGCTGGTGATGCCCAGACCCACCCCGGTCACAGTGAGGACCGAAGAAGCTCCTGCAGTCACAGGGATCAGCGCCAGCCCGATGATGGACAGCACTCCTCCCACAGCCCCCACAGAGCTGCCCGTCACACTGGAGATACGAGCGCCCAGGTTCATTCGGTCCAATTGAACGGCACTGTCCTCCAGCTCCTCCAGAAACTGCTGCATTCTGGGCTCAGACTCACTGAAGCTCTGCATGAAGCTGCTGCAGTACTCCTCCTGGAACAGGAACATCATCCTGAAGGCCTCGTCCTGCCTGAAGACCACAGAACACACACACTGGACTGAACATAGTGGTACACTACATTTACTTATGATGATACTTATGATCATTCAACAGGAGGCCCGAGGGCTGCAGCTGTCCATAGTTTGGACAGCCTGATTTAGAACATAGGTGTGGTATGTATGTATGTATATATACACACACACACACACACACACACACACACACACACACACACATATATATATTGAACTCACTGTATTACAACACGATTTTGCATTTTGACAATATTAACTTTAGCTGCCCCACATCTGTATTAATTCATATTGTCCTATAGAATGCTGTGATGTCATCATCTGAAACGCAGCCATACAGAGGGGGCAGCTTCAGGGATCAGTTATGATCATAGACTGTATAAAAAAGTGGACTAAGCGAGTGTGATGTCGACCATAGCGTTCAGCACCACTCAAATAAATCTTGCAATGCTAATGGTTACAGGAGCGAATTTGGAGCCAGACTCTATGTTATAAATAGGACTTTTTAATGGGCAAAATAGAGAAATAAAAACATGAGAATCAAATGGGTAATACAAACATTTTAAGACCAAAATGACAGGGTTCACTGCAGCAGTTACAGAGAGGGATCACAATATTCCAATGTAAGTCAACGGCAGCCAGGGTCAGAAGGTGGCGGCTAGCACATTAGCTATATCCATCTTGTATCCATCTTGTCTATCCAGTCTATGGTTGTGATCAAACATGTCTTACCTGAGTTTTTGGAGCAGAGTGATGTTGTCCAGCATCTTTTGAATATTGTCCTCTGAGATTTTCTCATCAATGTCCACCACAGGTTTGAAAAAGCTGAAGTCGCTCAAAGACCTGTAAAGTAAACACTTGTTTATATGTAAACAGTGCCTCACTTGGCTGATGATGTCCCTGCCCTTGGAGGGAGCCATACAGAGCCATACAAACAACTTGACATCCCCCCCGCCCCCCTTCTAATTTAGACAATATGGTGTTGAGCTTTGCAATACTATACTACTCAATTCCAGCATCTCTAAGAACAGATATATTTCTTAACCCTTTCTTGATGGTGCCACAGATTGTCTGCACAGACTTGATGTACTGGTCCAGCTGATAGGCCAGCACCTCCACGTTCTGCAGTTTTGGACTGAAGAAGTCTTGATCGTCTCGTTTGAACTCCACCAGCAGGGGGGAAATGCTCTTAGCTGCAGTGATGATGTCCTGCACTGTGCCCAGATCGCCCCCTTCAGGCGGCAGCAGCAGAACTGGGTTCTCCTCCTTAAACACGTGCACAGAGGTGACGGCCAGTTTCTCCACAGCGTCCAGGAACAAGCCCAGAGTCTGCAGCCCCATCAGGCAGGTCTTCAGAGAGGCACTCAGCTGCTCCTGCAGCTCTGCCCTCTGCTGGACACTGGCTGCTTTGTCTTGTATGTCAAGCAGGAGGATTAACTCTGTCTCTGTCATCAGCATCCAATTGGAGAGTCCATCAACAAAGTGTTTTACTGTCTCTATGTAGGAGAATGTGTCCAGGACATAATGGCACAGCCGCTCCTCCAGCTCTGTCCTGAAAAAGAAAATGTAGTAATTGGTTTGCATGAAAAATGCATTTTTTAGATCACTCGTTTACACAAAACCCAACCACTTAACATGGTGAAAGCTGAATTAATTTTATTTCTTATTTATGTAATTAATATGCAGTTATTATTATTACAATTACATAGCTAGTATTTTCCACAATCACAAGTACAGTTACATATTTAAACATCCTAAAAATGTTTAGTACTATTTTGTACTTAGTTACTTTCCACTCGTGCTCCCAGTTATGTGTGCTTTAGCCAGTGTAACATCTATGTCTACTTACTCTACCTATATTTTCAAAAGTGCTATGACGATGTCTCGGGGACTATTTCATTAGACTTAAACTTAGACAAATTTTATTGATCCACAAGGGAAATTACCTGCACACACATCTTGTTTTTTGTAATTCTATTCATTTGCAAGAAGACTCATGCACACCGCCTCACAGGATCACTTTTTTTAGTACAAAGTTTGAATCCCTTTGACCTGGACCAAAATGTTAACACAGGGACTCAGAGGTACTCCTTTTATATCAGTGTCATGCAACACGGAAGCACAACACTCTACACACTGCACTCTGCGGTCAGAGGGACCCAAACACTGCAAAATTAAAAGTGAATCAAGAGTGAGACACTGAGCAGAATTCTTCTTAAAAATGTTTGTTTTTGTTTTGTAATATTGCAGACAGTCTACTGTTGCAACATTTTAGCTAGTTGTTGTGAGAACATTATTGCAAAAGTTGCATTGATCTTGAAATCTTTACAGATATAAAATGCGTGCAATGCTATGATGGGAGGAAGTACCTGACCACGCACGCTTCTTGGTGACATTACATTCTTTTCCTGGTGACTGAGCCTAACCACATAGTTACAACATGCCTAACCTTAACCTAAACCGTAAATTATTTCAAGCCATATATTCATTTTATTGTGTTTGCAATTAAAATAAAGATCAAGATAAATGATACTATTGATACTTTGTAATTAGGATATAATAGTATTTGTACAATAAGTGGCTATAACTTTGGATTATTCTTATCTCCAGAGCATCATATGGACATTATATTAAAAGCAGGTAAATGACTGGATTGGAAGAGTAAAGAATATGTTACAGTATTGCTTATGATTACTACAAGTGACATGTGCAGGCTAACACCATTCATTGTACAGTCTGGGAGCAGCAGCAAATCTTTTGTTGTTATGTTCATTTCAAGTGTATTGGTATTATATTGCACATTTAAAACAGCCTGAGATCGTGCTACCCATATATACAGAAACACAATACACAGGAAAAGTACAGTAAAACACCAAGATGTGCTGTCTAGAATATTGAATGCCAGAGAGAAGAGGTCCTTATTTAGTTACATATCACTCTATTTCCTGATCTCTGTTATAATGTCGTTTCCTCATCACAAACATAGCTGGAGTTCTTTTCTCTAATAGCTCCACTGTGTTTTTAAACTCCATACACCTTCACTAGAATAATTTGGATGATTTTAGCCCTGGAAACAGTCATTGCCATCTTTACTGAATTAAGGTTAAAGGGTAGCTGTTAACTTGAAATCTACCACTACATGAAATCACAAAGTGGAACAGAGCATTTTGAGCTTTGGAGATGTATAGAGACTTAAATAATAAAGGATTACTCAATGCGTGAATGAAACAAAACAGAACTCCAGGTATGTTTTTGAGGACTTAACAGCATTATAACACGACTAAAAGTTCATAAGAGTTTTGTGTAATATAGGAGCTTTAAACTGCATAAAGATTAAGATGATTTGATTATAACAGCAATAGCAATAGGAATAATAATAAGTAGAAGAATAAATAGCTAAGAAATAATCATTCATCAAAACAAGAATACAAGAAAGTCAATTACTTTACCTTGAATTATATTCTTCTTGCATATTTTCAGTTTTCAAGTACAAAAGCTGCAGGTTAGTCCAGCTGTAACTGCTTTTCAATAGTAGCTCTAACTGGGCCGTGAGCTCATAAAACAACAGACCAAATGCTCAAATGTTTAGATGGTAGAGCTTTACTTTTGCTCTTGCTCTCCCAGAAGTCAAAATAAGCTGCCTGTAACTCTATCCTCCCTCTGACACGTGCACTCCCACCCAACCAAAGACCAAACATGAGCAGCTACTACACAGTTTCACTTTCACTTTCCAAACATGAGCAGTCACTACACAGTTTCACTTTCACTTGGAATATCATTGTGAAGCCAGCGACTGGTGGGTTTCAGATTAGAATGTGATGATGTCATAGTCCCAGACGGGGGGAAGAGACAGTTTTTCCTTTTGATTTCACTATACTTTGCCCCAAAATATCTCAAAGGTAAATTCCCAAATGTTGTACCGGATCATTATATTACTGACTCAACCCAAGACCATGTTATATTACTCCAGAAATCTATTGGCCTATAGAATGTTGTGAACCCAACACAGGGCTGTCTCCAAGATCTGAGTTTAAGTTGGATTGTATTTAGTATTTGTATTTTTATTAACTGAAATAGCTTACACTCTCTTAGTAAATAGTAGAAAGCAAGATAGAAGTATAAGGGATTTAAACTGCACCTTAAAAACTGTGGAGGCGTTTGTATATTTTGTCATTGTTAAATAAATGTATCAACATTTTATACACATTTTTATTTACATTAACAGGCCCATATTACACTATTTCCCAATATATGTTATAATAGTGTTTCCTTGTCACAAACATGCCTTGAGTTGTGTTTTCTTTCATTCACACATTTGCTGGAGTTATTTTCTCTGCTAAAAGCATCAGCTCTGCTGCTCGACATGTAAACAAACATCGCGGTGTGATGACGTCATGGCCCTTAGTACATCAGCGCTGGGACAAACAAACATGGTCACAAACACAGTTGCAATTAAAAAAAAGAAAAACATTTCCGCACACCAAGCCTATCCACTTTTCTAGTTTGATAAGAGTATTAAAATAACGTGAGTTAACTGTGACATTCATGAGTTTAATCGCGATTAAATATTTTAATCGATTGACAGCACTAATAAGAATAAAATACATATATTTTATCATAGTGATCATGCAGACTAGTACATATTTAGTGGGTATTCCTCCTCGGGGTAAAACTCAGTCACAAGAATGGCTTGTTTCGTCTTGAAGGTCGGTTCCCCTTTCTTCAGGAGCTCGTAGATCTTCTGCCATGATGTCATCTCTGAGCGCCACAGAGCCGATCGGGCGCGGATGAATTTGGACAGCTCAGTCTCAGTGCCTCGAGCTAAACTCATGCTGTCTTTGACGATGAAGAACACGTCCATCCCCAGAAAAAGAGCGTTGAGAGCGATGAAACCTCCTCTGGCTCCTCTGGACAGGGCCAGGGGTGCTCGGGCTGCAGCCTGCCCCACGTCAGGCAACTCGGAGGCCACCCGTGGGACATTACGGGCCACAGCAGCAGCTTTAGTTACTACTGATGCCACGTCAGTCATGGCAGTAGAATCATAGACTGTATATATAAATGGACATAGCTAAAGTGCTAACCGTTGCATTCCAAATAGGAAGCTAGTTCCAGCTCCTTCTGACCCTGGCTCCCACTGACTTCCACTGGGATATTGTGGCCCCTCTCTCTGTAACTGCTGCAGTGAGCTTTGTCATTTTGGTCTTAAAATTGTCATATTAACCCACTCTACAAGATCCTATGATCTTGTAGGCTGTTTTTTCTTTTGTTATTCTGTTCATTTAAAAAAATTATATTCATAATACAGATCCTGGCTCCAAATTTACCCCTATAACCTTCATTTAAGTGGTAGTCCACTTCTTTATACAGTCTATGGGTGGAATGGAAGCTATTCTTAACTGCACCATCGCTGCAAAACTCTGCTCTCATAAACACAATATGACATGTTGAAAATAAGCAATTAAAGATTACTCAAACATGCACGAATCACTCCAAATACACATTTCAGAGGGAGAAACAAGAATAACATGGTATGGCATTCAACCTTTCTATCATTATGTAGACCAAACCAGGTGAAGTTACAGGTCAGATCTGTGTTTTTCTAGGTATTTTTTAAAGTCAATTTTGTCTGCTTTACAACACATTAGCAGTATGCAAACTACTGAGCTCCAGTCTCCCTCACATAACATACATAATCATTAACTGTATCCCTGTGTTTGTTTTGCTTATATCTGATCTGTGTTGACTGGAGCCCAACCCTGTATGTAAAACACTTTATTTTGAGTTTATTTATGAAGAACATTTAAAACAACTGCTGACCAACATGCTTCACATAAGAGTCAACAAAAAGTAAATATATACATAGGAAAAGTACAGCAAAACACCAAGATATGCTGTCTATAGTATTAAATGCCAGGGAGAAGAGGTGAGTTTTCAGTATTGTATTAAAAGGCCCATATTAGGCTATTTCCTGATCTCTGTTATAATGTATTTTTTTCATCACAAACATGCCTAGTTGTGTTTTACTCTGTTCACACATTTAACATGCAAACCCTGCATATTTAGAGTTCTTCTCTCAAACAGAAAACACTCTCTTCTACCTTGTGATATAATGTTGTAATACATGAAGTGCTCAACTGTGTTTTTAAACTCCATGCTTCTTCACTAGAATCATTTGGATGATTTGTTAACTTGAAAACTACCGTTTCATGAAATCAAAGAGCATTTTGAGCTTTGGAGATGTAGACAGACTAATAATAAAGTGTTACTCAGACATGTGTGAATGAAACAAAACACAACTCCAGGTCTGTTTTTGAGGAAGTAACAACATTATAACAACGTGACTAAAAGCTCAAAGAGTCAGTTGTGTGTGATACCGGAGCTTTAAACTGCATAAAGACTGAAAAGATCTGATAGGGCAACAATAACAATAGATAGAGGAATACGCAATAATAATTTATCACTAAAAGAATACAAGAAAGTCAGCTACTGTACCTTGCATTATGTTCTTCTTCTTGCATAATTCTTGTTTTCAAGCACAAGCACTTTCAGTCATAAAAGCCACACTGCGTCCTGGGTGAAATACCGGTCAGTCCAGCTGTAACTGCTCTTCAATTCCACTTCTGCAGACTGAGGCTTGAGCTCCAAAACCACAAACCACACAAAAGCAAAAGTTAAAATAGTTTCACTTCTTCTCTAACTCTCTCAGAGGTCAACAATATTGTTTTAATGACTACTGTAATTCCATGTCCTCTGGTGTGTCCGTGCTCTCCCAAAGCCACTGCATACTTTCACTTTCACTTCTTGAATCGTATCATTGTGAAACTAACAATAAAGGGTCTGTCTCTGAACTCGGAGTTTAAGGGGGATTATATTTAGAACTGTATCAGACTTGATGACTCACAGTCATGAAAAGAGAGAGGAATTATAATTATAAAGGGGTGATTATTTGTCTTAAGTGGTATAGCCTACACCCTGTAAGTAAACAGCAGGAAGCAACAAGTTTAAGAGGGTGGGATTTAAACTGCCACCTTAAAACCTATGGACTATTATTGGACTAAATATTTTATTTATTTATTTATTTTTGTATATTTTGTCATTGTCAGAAATCAGCCTTTAATTTACATTTTTATTCACATTAAAGGGCCCATATTACGGCATTTTCGTATTTGTGTTTTGTTTCATTCTCACATGTTTAACACACAAACCCTGCATATTTAGTCTCAGTTCTTCTCTCAAACAGAAAACACTTTGTTCTACCTTGTGATGTGTTGTGGTAATCAGTGTTGTGCAAGTTCACACTTTTCATGAACTAGTTCAAAGTTCAGTTCATATTATTTTTAGGTGAGATATGTAAATGAAAGGCTGCACTTATTTTTCAAACTGACATCCAGTTTACAACAACTTTACAAATATTAACCATAACCACTATAGAGCCACATCAGCCCGTTTGAGATTATAATGTGTATAATTCAGCTTTGCCACATTTGTTTACGTTTTACAGAAACGAAACTTAACACTGCATGGCTAATTTGCATAAATTGTGAATGCTTGAAAAAAGCTGCTTATTCCTTGTGCACTAATGCATCAGCTTCTGTCGAACTAAAGGGCACGACTACATGTGTTGTTTCTGTGACAGAGGGACGTCACTGCAACGACACGTAATTTGAAGAATGCATGGAAAGTAAATGAGGGCGGCTCCACTGCACGCGCTACATGTGCTTGGAGCTTGGCGTGCGTAGATTTCAGAAAACAGGATCCATCCTTTTTTTTTGATGCTCTACGCGAACATAGGCGCGCATCCCCGTCAAATTACACAGAAAGCATGAATCTATTGTTTGTGCATTTACCAATTTGAACAACTTCACGTTCAAGTTCTTGATTTACAAATGCGTTGCATTCAGTTCAAAGTTCACTGAAAAATGAATGTGTTCAATGAACGCGTTCTTTTGAACTCGTTCATGCACAACACTGGTGGTAATAAAGGAAGTGCTCCACTGTGTTTTTAAACTACATACACCTTCACTAGAATCTTTTAGATCATTTCAGACCTGTAATTGTCATTGTCTACTGAACTTTTATTTTTTATTTATGTTGTGTTATTTATGTATGTTGTATGTATGTTATGTATATGACGTAAATCTGTCTTAGGCCTTAGGACCTGTTTACATGAGGTTGTGAGGGCTTGTTTACACAAAAACGACAACATATTGTATCGGTAGTCCCTTTCATTTAGTGACTTGGTGACTTCGTTTTTGGGGGTAAAAAATGCAAAAATCTGAAACCACCCTCCAGAGTGGAAAAGTTGAAAACACTCCGCTGTAGCATTTCGGTCTACACTGCCCAAGACACAAAACTCAGTCAGATCTGCTCACTCCGCTTACGCGTTTACGTCATACAGTACACAGAAACTTGGCATGCATAACCAATCGAATTCCACACACTTTTGCTTCCCCGTATGCATGCAGATTTCCTCCCGAAAACACTCATCTAAACGCAGAATAAAAAGTGAAGATGCAACTCCACTTTTGGGTCTTCTGTTCAGACCGTCACCATATAAACGTAGCCTTATTCTAACATTATACATAAGCTGCTGACACTATAGTTTCGATGTGTACATGTTCTGAAATGATTCTTGTATTCATTTGTCAGTTCTTCTTTAAATCATTTTGATGCATTTAAATTGTGAACTTTGAACAGAATCCTATTATAAAACTTAAATCTCAAATGTAATTACTATACTTGTCCAAAAAATCACAAGAGACATTTTGACATTTTATCCTAAATCACTCAACCCTGTTCTATTTTTTGGTGAAGTTTGTGTTAATGTGCGAAAACTCCCCAAATGTCCGACAGCAGCAGTCACTTCCAGCTTGTGTGGAGGGGGCGAGGGGAGAGGGAAGCGGCTGGGGAGAGGGATGTGCGTGGTCAGCTGGAGCAGACACTGGAGAATCAAAGAGAACCAGTGCTGACGACGCACTGTCCCCCAAAGACCAAAACAACAAGCATCAACAACACAGGATCAGATGTGACAAACAAGAGTTTCCCCACACA